ACTAATAGTTCATCCTGACTCCCACCCCTTTAATAGACATGGGACTGTGCCTGAGGGCCCTTTCATATGCAGCAACAATTGTGTGGGGGCCTCCTTCCTATGGTGTGATCTAATGCTGCTAAGGGTTACAATGGGGTTAATCAATCTACATTGGTGGGCTTAATGGCATAGGTCTCTCTGCAAATAGAGGCTTCTTGGAAGGGAGAGTGTTGAAGGAGAAAAACACTCGCCATTTGCTGCATCCACAGGGTTACATAGCATCATTGACACATAGCCCCACCTTTAGGTATGTGAGATAGCATCACAGAAAAGTAGCCAGCTAACAGTGGCTGTGTAAGAAGGCACAACATTTTGAGTAACCATCCACAACTGTCGATGTCACTATCAAAGGTGGGTAGGGAGCTTTAATGGAGAGGAGCATGTATGAAAATCCCTTTGACTCAGCAGCTTTATGTTCAGAAACCATTGGATACATCCTTATGTCTGAAAGTACTTTCAATTTCAGATTTTAAAAACTCAGTGCTTAGATAAGCTTGGGGCTTTGGCCGGGGTGGGGTCAGAAATATCTTAGCATGAAAAGAGCCCTGCTGGATCCGGCCAAAGGACCACCTAAGCCTCTCTGCTCATTGTGGCAAACCAGATGCCCAGGGGAAGACCATAAACATGTCAGAACTCTCCGCACCTTCTGTTTCCAGCAACTGGTATTCAGAGGCATACTTCAACAGTGGAGGTAGAACATAGTCATTGTGGCTAAGAGTTATGGAAGAACCTTATCCTCCATGAATTTGTCTAATCTTTTAAAGCCATCCAAGTTGGTAGCCATTACCATACCTTGTGGTAGCAAACTCCCCAGTTCCCCAGTTTAACTATGCAGTGTGTGAAGATGTATTATATTTTGTCTGTCTTGAATCTTCCAAAATTCACCATCTATTTTTCCTCTTTTACTATTTGTCTAATAATAATTATTTATACCCCACCCATCTGGCTGGGTTTGTCCAGCCACTCTAGGCAGCTTACAGCATATATAAAAACATAAAGCATTAAAAACTTCCCAGCCTTCAGATGTCTTCTAAAAGTTGTGGTTCTTTATCTCTTTGACATCTGAAGGGAGAGTGTTCCACAGGGAGGGTGCCACTACCAAGAAGTCCCTCTTCCTGGTTCTGTGTAACTTCGCTTCTCGCAGTGATGGAACCAGCAGAAGACCATCGGAGGAGGACCTCAGTATCTGGGCTGAGCCATGGGGGTGGAGACATTCTGTCAGGTATACTGGAATGTCCAGCCTGACAAAGAGTTGTCTACATGTCACACAATGAACCTTGCATATAGAAAGCATGCTGGTCCTAACAAAAGGGGTCACTTGGCTGTCTTTGTGATTGGATTTTGTTTTGCTTGGATTTGTTTCACAACCTGGTTTGGATCATCAGATATAAATTTGGCCCCAGTCCTACACATTGCTTACATGATCTGGAAGGTTTGACACATTTTACTTTACATGCATAAATTTGTAAGTCACCAAGACAGACACAGAACATTAATTTAGATGTGCAGTTCACAAGGGGCTTGATAAACCTACCTAAGTGTGTGGGTGGGTGGGGGAAACCAGGAGGGTTGCCTTGCTGAGCACTGGTCAAACCATCATGCAGGGCTGATGGGTTGTGTATGGCTTAGGCTGCAATCCTATGCATACTTGGTTGGGAGTAAGTTCCACTGAAATGATTAAGATGGGACCTCTCCTAGGGAAAAGCACCAATTGGCCTAATTGCTTGGAGTTATAATGTGGGGTTGGGGGCCGTGAGATAGAGGCTATTGTAGAAACCCTACTAGAAATAATAGTTGGCAAACTTTTCCCAATTTGGGTGCTGTATCAGTTGCAATGCACTTTTCTCTTGATTACATACTGGCATGATATTGTACATGAGTACATGGATGGAAATAATAATTGCTAGTTTGTAATTGTGAGTCTGCCGTTTAAAAAGAACACAGCATTACTATCAAATGCAGAAACTTTTAAGTATGAATACACTGGGAGTATTTGTTTGATTTTAGTATTCATGTATTCAGATTTTGCCCTATAACCAGGAGAACTGGGGAAATGGGATGGGGGGCTAATAACCAGGAGACTTGTGTAGTCAAATGACTCTGGACGGCTGTAGCACTGACTTCCACGATGTGATAAAATTAGGAGGCTTGCCATATAAATCATGAGCACTAGATGCTCACCTACTCATGAAAGAGAATACTAAAATGAGAACACATAAAATTATTCCCATAAGCAGAAAAAAATAGATCGTACTGAAGAGTCCCTTTTATTGGTTTATATTAAACTGGAATAATACACTAGTTCCATCAGAGTGTTGAATACTGGTTTGAATTCTCCACTGTATACATTCTTTTTAATAGAATAAACTGTGATCTGCAACCAGTTTAGTTAAGCGTTATGCAATCAATCTGCAGGGAATTCGCAAGTAATTTTGTCCATAGAAAGTGTTTTAGTTTTATTTCAAAGTGGGTCCTCCCCTGCCTAAAAAGTAACCAACAAACAACTCCTCTTTGACAATTTGATGTGACATTTTGGTTTATTGGGGTCTCTTCTGAAAAAGCAATATGAAAACTGAAGTACATTGTTTAGTACAGAGTAGAAAAATATATGGGGAGAGAGATCCATTCCCTTTGGCAATGCACTTTTGACATTTTGCCTAGCTTTGCATTAGTCAGTGCTACTGTGGCTTTGTTGTATAAAGGAAGGGAATTAAGCATTTATCTGTGTAGCTGTGATCCCATCACATTTCTCTGTAGGAGGAACAAATGTGAATCCTACTAACTAAGAAGGGATTTATACAAGAAGGGGTGGAAATGGATATTGACCTAATGAACCACTGCCATAACATACTAATTCTGTTTGCTGAGTTTAGCTTCTCCTGAGATTGTACTTGTTTTCAGGAGTGATATTCCACTAAGATTTGCTCAGAATAGACCTATTGAAATTAATGGGAATAACTTAGTCAAGCTCATTGATTTTAATGGGTCTACTCTACATTACTTTTATGTGGTGATTCCCCCCCCCATGTGCTTTTTCCAACCATTCTGTCAATGAGAAAAGGAACTGCATGTGGAAATTATCAAAGGAGAAAGAAAAATTTTCAGTAAATTTTTCATAGATGAGGGGTAGGTTTTTTGCTGAGCTTGCCTCGGTTTCAAGGTGACCATGGGGTGTTTGTGAGTGACCTTTCTTTCATCTCCCCCATGGTCTGCACTTCCTGGGTGACTATACTTTCTGAAAGCACCATGACATCCTCAGCTGGGCTTATTTGTAAGCATGAGAAAGTGTGGAAGCTGCCACTATGTTATTTTGTTCTAAAGTGAAGTCTTTTTATACTTTTAATGAAAGGAAAAGGAAATAAATCCCCCTAAAAACAAAATCATCTGTAGTTTCTGAAGTGGCTGAAACTAAGGAAAGAGGTCAAAGTAGACAGCTGTCTGGAAATATTGATTCTGATCTCTTGTAGCAATGAAAAAGAAAATTCAATGGAAGGAATCATTTGGAAAGGAATCAAAACCAGAACTATCAATATAAGTATATACATTTATTGAGAATCTACTTATTTGGAAACTCTCACTGCCAGATTAAGACTACATAGAAATGAAGCAGGATTCTGCACAAAGTGTTACTAAAAATAATAAGAACAGTTTGACCAAAAGTCAAGTTTGGTAGAAAAGGGCTCTTCATTCTCCAGTAGGAATCTCTGGCACATCACAACCAAACTACGTGCAACATTTAATGCAAATGCACCTTTGCATTTAACATGCATTGTTTGTTTTAATGAAAATAGCAAAATGTTTGTGGAAGGCTGAGGCTAGTAATTAACAGGATCAGAGCACACACAGAGAGAGCACTTGAACCATAGAATTGTAGAGTTGGAAGAGACCATGAGGATCATCTAGTCTAAACCCCAGCAACGCAGGAATCCTTCACCCAATGCGGGTCTCAAACCTACAAGTCTGAGGTTACGGGTCTCGTGCTCTACCAACTGAGCTATCTGCTTTCATCTCCTCCTGAGGTCCTAAAGAAAACCCTTCTCATGCAACTGGCATTTGTGGGGGAGGGGAGAGAGAAACCCTTTGGCACTAACTGGACACTTAATTCCAAATACAAATTTTAAATAAAATGCTGTTGGTGTTGTACAACAGCTCAAGTTTAGCAGGTTGTGTTGCTGGGCTAGTTAAAAGAACAGAGATAAAACTGCAAGTTAAGCATACTTTCTAGAACGTGAAGCCTTGTGCATGAACAGTGGATTCACTCCTTAGTATGACTGCTTTGCAGGAATGTAGGATTGTTACAAGGAACAAGAGAGCTGCATTAACTGCTGTATGGAACCACAGATTTAATTCCACTTCCAGCCCACTGTGGGAGATCAGCACCAACCAGGAAGTTAGCACTTTAAACGTTGCTTCTTCTGTGAAATTGCCAAGTGGCCTTTGGACAGTCGCTCTCATTTGCCACAGCCCCCATCTGAATTATAGGGATAATAGCGTTGATTGACTTTATGGTGTTCTTGTAAAGATTCCAAAAAATAATGTACATAAAGTATTTTGAAACACTGTAAGGTATGTAATATGCATATATAAAAGCATTATTAAGAAATGGTGGCTGGTCTTCTAACGTTAGTAAAAAGTTAGCCCAGTGTTTGCCAAGATCAAGGTGGTAGATGTGGACATTTTCCAGGGCCCCAAGTCCAGCAGAGGGGCCTCAAATAGCCCTACCATTTCCACTTTCCACAGAATATCCAAGAAGATCATGGCTAAGAGAATTCACTGTTTGCATGCCCTATTTCCTTCAGGTGAAGGGACCCGACTGACAGTGCCATGACTGAAGCCTGCCACCACCCATTGTAAAAAAATAAATGAATCCGGAACCAGTACTGTCTAAAGTATGTGGTTTAAAAGCTCTGTAGAAACAAACTCATTTTAAAAGTCTTATTTTCCTGCCTTTTCGCCCCCAGTAACACTTTCCGCTGCCACTCCAGCTTATTTTCGTGGCTTCACACTGATTGCTTTGAAAGAGGGCAAAGAGGGAGAGAAAGAAGAAGACCACGCAGGGACTTTTCAGGTGAGTAGCTGGCTCTTGAACTTCACCTTCAGAGAGTCTGTCTGGATGGTTATTTCACAGCAGGATGGATACTGTACAAAACAACATAATCTATTTGTGCTGATATCAATATCTCTGTAGTTGCAGGCATGGGATAAGCTTTGCAACTCCAGCTAAAGATCAGATTTCTACGGGGAAAGATTTCGGCATGTGCTGTTAAGTTGGCTGCGGAGTTCAGTGGATTTATACACTTATAGTTCAATCTTAGGCATGTTTACTTGGAAGTAAGCCCCACTGAAGTCAATGGAACTTACTTCCAAGTTAAGTATGCATAGGATTGCACTCTTAAAATAATTTGACAGACAAGGTGCAAGAAATCGGAAGTTGATGCTGGTATGCAGCTATTCATAACAAATATAGTCAGCTCCAAATATTTTTGCAATGTTTATTTTGTCCAGCACTTGGTCTCTTTTTGTCCACATTCCTTTTTCCAGACTAGCAGATATTAGCTATGTTGTTTGAATCTAGTCATCATCACTTGGAAGTAGGTCCCACTTAGTTCACTGGGGTTTACGCCTAAATAATTATGCATGGGGTGGCAGTTTTGTCTTTGAAATGTGCTTTAGCAAACTGCAGTCTGGTCTGCTTTGTCCTGGAGCCCTTGAGTTTTCCAAGAAATCATTAATCACATGACTTTCATGTTCCCTAATGGTTCATGAACTAAAAAGCAAATAAAAAACAGCAAGTTCAAGTTAGGAAGGAATATTGTTTTTGTATCTGTACTTCTAGAAAGATTATATTTATCAATTACACTGACTTAGTGAGATCACTGCTGCTCTTGTCGACATCCTCTGAACTTGGGAGTTTTCTACCTGTAGGAATTTCCTCAGCATTTCATTCAATTGGTCAACAGCTTCCAGTTCAGACTGCATGAACATATATGTGAAATTAGGATTTATGTGCCCCAACTTTACACTTTCTTACACTGAATTGCATTTGACATTTTACTGCCCATTCACCTAGTTTGGAGAAATCCTTTGAGTTCCTTGCAATCCCTTTTTGTTTTAACCACCTTGAACAACTGATATCTCCAGCAGACTTTACTGCCTTTCTACCTACTCCTAACTCTAAATCATGAATGAAGAAGTTAAAAAAACACAGGTTCCTTGTGGGCTTCACTTTCTACATCTGTCCATTGGGGAAACTGTCCATTTATTCCTACCTTCTGGTTCATGTTCCTTAACCAGTTATGCAAGAGCTTACAGAAGTTTTCTTGCAATGTATCATCGATTTGTGCTTCAGAATATCAATACGGAAAATAGAGTGTATAAATCCAGTGGGCCATACAAGTGTCTTGGGAATGACCTTGTGTAAGCTGTTACACAATTTGGCTGGCCCAAATTGAGAAACTTTTCTGAATTTGGGATGACTTTTCTCATGCAAAGCTAGAAGCAGCATTTTCTCTTTGCAAAGCTGTAAGCAGCATTTCTGAAGAGGTAAGAGGCTTTCTAGGGACACGGGTGGAGCTGTGGGTTAAACCACAGAGCCTAGGACTTGCCGGTCAGTAGGCCGGCGGTTTGAATCCCCGCGACGGGGTGAGCTCCCGTTGCTCGGTCCCTGCTCCTGCCAACCCAGCAGTTTGAAAGCACGAAGTGCAAGTAGTTAAATAGGTACCGCTCCGGCGGAAGGTAAACAGCGTTTCCGTGCGCTGCTCTGGTTCGCCAGAAGCGGTTTAGTCATGCTGGCCACATGACCCAGAAGCTGTACGCCGGCTCCCTCAGCCAATAAAGCGAGATGAGCGCCACAACCCCAGAGTTGGCCACGACTGGACCTAATGGTCAGGGGTCCCTTTACCTTTACCTAAGAGGCTTTCTGCTAATGGAAGAGTGCCCTTAGGTCCACCCTGGTATCCAGCAAGCACATGGTCCTGCAGGTTCCCTCACTTCCTCCCTGAGCACACCATATTGTCATATTGCTGAATTCTCCACCTCGCCCCCTCCGTGACCCCGACTAATAAGTGAAGTGTCAAGGCTCAACTCTATCATTTAGAGAATGTGTGGGGCAACATAAATTCCTCTTTGTCCATTTTCATCTTAATTGTTTGCTCATTGAAGAGTTTATAACTTGTGCAATCAATCCAGCAGTTGTGATCCTAAAAAATACATAATCTTAACTTTTATTGTGCCTGGGGTGGTTTTGTTTTTCTTAAACCCAGATCATTTTCATACTTCACAGACATCTGTACTGAGTCATGCAGCTTAATTTTTGCTGAAACTTTCAGCTGAGGATGTTTAAGCAGAAAAATAAGCACTCTCTGCTTGATAACAATATTATCCACTGTTAATAATATGGAGTTTGCCAAACTAGAATAGGATTTATTCTTGCAGATTTAGTATTCTTACAGGTTTACCATTCTGTGACATGGGCTTAAGCATTTTAGAAAAAAACATATCAAACACTTTCTGGAGAGCGACAAGGAAACTGACAGTGAAAATAAACTCATTGTCCCCTGTTTGTAAGCTCCTTTTCTGCTAATACAGAATTTAGAAACACATGGAGTGTATTGAACATGCTGATGTTCCTGCCTTCAATCTACAGTGGTGCCCTACAAGACGAATGCCTCGCAAGACGAAAAACTCACTAGACGAAAGGGTTTTCCGTTTTTTGAGTCGTTCCGCAAGACGAATTTCCCTATGTTTTATTGTTGTTAGCCGCCCTGAGCCCGGCTTCGGCTGGGGAGGGCGGGATATAAATAAAATTTATTATTATTATTATTATTATTATTATTATTATTATTATTATTATTATAGGCTTGCTTCACAAGATGAAACGTCTTGCGAGTTCTTGCGAGTTTGTTTCCTTTTCTTAAAGCCGCTAAGCTGTTAATAGCCGCTAAGCTGCTAAGCCGCTAATAGCCGCTAATCCGCTAATAGCCATGCTTCACAAGACGAAAAAAACACAAAATGAAGAGACTCGCGGAACGGATTAATTTCGTCTTGCGAGGCACCACTGTATTTTGATGGACTCTTTGGTTTTTCATATCTGCAGCCTATATATGTATGTAAGATTAGAATTCCACATAAAAACATATGGGCCTGACATGTGAAAGGGCAGTCCTATGTCACACCTGCCCCTCCCTCTCTGTAACATGCCACCCAACCTACCTTATGTTCTGCCCAGTCTAATGACATCAAGAAGGGAAATAAACTGTAATTCACATTATGTAGTACAGTGGTACCTCTACTTATGAACGTGATCTGTTTCAGGGTGCTGTTCACACCCTGAAAAGTCCGTAAGTAGATCACTTCTGTGCATGCACATGCGGTGAAACTCGGAAGTAAACACTTCCGGGTTTACCATGTTCACAACCCGAAATTCCGCAGCATGAAGTGAACGCAACTGTATATATGACTGTATATGAGAGGAAACTTGACGTAGGGGTGCAGATTTTGGTTTCTAATACCTTCTTAGTCTGCCCTTATTAAGTGCAGCAGCAGAAGGGCTGACGCTCTAGAGGGGGCAGAATTGTACCTGGGTGCCAGGCCACCTCCCTGCCTCTCACCTGCTTGCTCACAGTAGTGACACCTCCTTCTCTCTTTTGGGCAGTTTCTTCAGGAAAACAGGAATGTTTTCCATCTCCCCAAGCCCTGAAATAGTGCAGCTACCTTGCAGATCAAAGGTCCCAGGTTCAATCCCTGCCATCTCCAGTTAGGGCTGGAAATGAATGAATGAATCTTTATTGCTTTATTATAGCAATAAAAACAACAATACAATATACAAAGAATAGAAATAAAAAGTCAATTATATAAAATACTTTTTAGGGTGTTGAATCAATAGTCAAATAGTGGATCTTATTCTGATTGCCCCAGCTAAAAACCTTGCAACCTTTGCTGTCCCCTGCTCATCTTGATCTGCCAAGAGAAAGGACACTGTGGCAGTGGTTGGGCAACCCAGAATGGACAATAAAAGAGGGGTGATAATCTCATTCCTCAAGTCTTTATAAAGAGTGCAAGCCAGAAGGGCATGTGCCACCAATTCGGTACTGAGGTAGGGCTGGAAAATATTGGGAAATATGGTCCAGCTTGGTGTATGGCAACCTGACAGTCTCACGTCCCAAAGTAAGTTCAGCAATACCATTTTTAATATACTGAGGGATTTAGGTCTAATGCGTGGCAAAAGACAAGGAACAACATGGAAATTGTATGAAACAGCAATATTCAAATTGTGAATTTAACAGGCCAGTTTAGGAAGACTTGAAAAAGTTTTGAAGTAGGTCATCACACAAATGTTAGCAAGTGCAAATTAGTGTGGATCATTTCCTGTAACTTAATTATAATTTCTCCTTTACGATAAAAAAGGGGTTATTTTCTTCTTTCCACAGTTGGGCGCATTCCCACCATTAATGTCCTATTGTAGCTAATTTCCAATTAACTTTTCAGCACTGACAAGAAAAAGAGGTTTTTACAAGGATCTGGACTCCAGGCCTAACTTTTTCAGCATCAGACCAGCAAGTTGTTTTTTTAAAAAAAAACCCAGTAAAAACATCCCTTCACTTTGCAGAAGTAGGCAAGAATTTTGAACTTTTGATGAGAGTTGGCAGAAAATTGAATTTTCTAAATATCGGCAAACGCCTCATGGATCTCAGCGGAGGGATAATTATTAAGCTATTTAATTAGTTTTATTATACCGCTTAGAAGCTGAAATCAGCATTTTAATTGGCAGATGAATATTTCAAAAGTTTTTGAATAGCTAAATTCATATTTTTTTGGCATGAAAGAGAACTCATTGTCCTTCCACCTGCAAACACTCTATTAAGTGCTCTTTGTAGAGCTAACACCTGCCTGTAATGCCTGCGTTCATTAAAGATTCAAGTATCAGCTTCACTAATGTGTAGCTTTGCGTTATAGTTGCCCTGTGTGCCACTAGCTGGGTGAAAAACGAGAGTTCATAAATGCTGCATTAGGATTATGCCAGGCCTGTAGTCATGAGGTGATGCCACTATTTTGCAAGCGGCTTTTCTA